ATGTGCCTGTTGACAGAGAACTTGACCTTTGACCTGCTTTCACGTTTCTGAGCCCTGGCGAGATACCTTTTCACAATGCTTTACTTTTTCAAGGCTCGTGCTTCTTTATTTTTACAAGGCCTGAGGCCTATATCGGTAAAGGCCCTTTTATGTTGTTCTTTCACCCAGGAACTTTGTGTGATGCCCCACTGTCCTCACCTGTTCTCAATTTTTTTTTTGATTTTTTTTTTGATTTTATTTTTTTTTTTATTTTTATTTTTTTTTACTTTTAACTTTTAAACCACCACAACCTGCAGCTCGACTGGCACCGAAAAGGCTCCACCAAGTCTGGAGGCCTGTAACACACCAATGCCGCCGATGGATTTTATCGACGGCAGGGCCCAGCCTCCTGACACTTCAGGTAGTAGGCTGCTAGCTGAAATTCGGATGCCTGTAGGTAGTGGTGGTTTAACTTTCAAGTTTTAACTGATTTAGTATTTCCAGGGTTTCAGTGGGGTTGGCTACGTCCTCGGAGATCTTGTGTATCGAGCCGTCCATAAGATTGTTGCAAGTTTTGCAGCTACTAGCAGTTTCCTGTTTTGTGTTTTGTTTCCCCGTTTCTAACTTGCTGTATTATCTTTGTTTATTGTAATAATGTAATTTATTCAGATCCAAAGTACGTCATTGCTCCTGTCCACAATGGGAAGCACAACACTCGACGTGAAGTGAAGAAGCAAGTCAAAGGTGAGTGACAAATTGGTGATTGGATTGGAATCATTGGATACATGCAGTGCAATGAAAAATTATCACTGAGACAGTGCTGGCCCTCAGGTGTCCCTGACTGTTTTATCTGCTTACCACCACGCGGGCCCAGTCGGGCGAGGTCTGGCCAGGGTCCCTGGCAGCCCCAGCACGAAGTATTTAAAAACTAAGAAGCAAAAAAAAAAAAAAAACAGTGAATATTATGGAAACGGCATATGTGTAATGAACCCAGTCAGGAGGAAACTTGTCAAGTGTCGAAATACAAGATGACATGGTGCTGATAAATGTCTCCGGTAATCGTGAATTGAAATCTGTAATACAATGTCTCGTAACGATAGGACGAAGAAGGCAGGAGGGAGATTAGACTTAGAGGGTGGAGGAGAATGTATCCATCAATGTCCACGTAGACAGAACACCTTCAATCCCCACTCCTTCTTCGGGCGTCTCCTCTCATCCACGTCAACAAACAGTGTCCCAGAAACGAGTCTGATGAGATCTGATCACATCATAGTGCCACGTAGGCACAGTTCTCCCATGAAGATGTCTCTGCAGCGCTCAATGTCGACAGCATCAACAGGTAAGTCCCCTCTCTCTCATCCAATCAATCCACAGATCCCGATCACCCTCCTTGTCGCATCCCAATCTGTGTCGTAGACAATGTGGCATGCGCCACGTCAGCAATGAGAGGCGCCAGCATGCAAAGCAGCAGTCTCGCGTCATCATTGCACAATGCCAGCGTAGAGCCAGCGTCAAGCCAGCGTTGTGCCAGCGTCAAGCAGCAAGGCAAGACTGAATGTTGACTCCCAGGGGCAAGGTCAATAAATAGTGTTGACGAAGTTGACCAGCCTCTGGTCTTCATGTACGGAGGCTCAGATTGACTCACAACCGAGGGCCTGGATCTCGTACAGTTGCAGACTTCCACTTGGACCAAATGCTGTCTGGATACCTGCGTACAACCAAGTGTGTGTCTGATCGGTGGCCTGGACTGGGTCCGTAAAGACTTTGACTCGCGAGCCTCAATATTCCGACATACAGTTGACTTAGGTCAACTGTCGGGCGCAGGGCCTCTGAAGCCACATTTCAGGGGTTCTGTTCCCCACGGTGGGACGCTGGGCCTGAGGGCCGTTTCGTGGCCTGCAGGTGGCCCCCTTGGCCAACGACATAGGCATATTTGAGCAGGTTATTGCATATGTGGTGTAACATTATAAATGTATAATACAGACAACATTTGGCCGAGAGTCTTCACGAGACTCCTTGCTAATTTCAAGACAAAAATGAAATAGAAAAGAAGAGTTAAGGGCTAGCGTCCCAGCTCAGTTGGTAGAGCACGCGAGTGGCATTCATGAGGTCATGGGTTCGATTCCACGTCTTCCATTCGATTCCACGGGGCCGCGCTTCGGGTTCACCAGCTGAGATAGTTGGCTTGCCCCCCCTGGTCAGTCCTGGAAGGGGTACTTGGGGCTTTGCCGCCGTCCCTTGCATCCTGAGTTGCTTCGATATGGTCAGCCCCTGTTCGTGGATGTGAGGATAGGTAGTGTGAGGTATATTGGAGAGAAGAATATAGCTTAGTTTTTTATTTCCTAATGATACGACTCCATGCTACCCTGTTGATGCAAGAAGTTCGGCTGGGGTCCCCTGTCCATAGATAGCATCTTGCTCTTGCGGGGGAGACCAGATAGATGCAATGTATCATAATGTAGAAAAAATAGTTGTGTTTATTATTAGTGCCCTCTTGATCAGCGATAGCTGTGCGTTCTTGCACGGGGTCAGTGTGGCAGTGTGCGTTCTTGCACGGGGTCAGTGTGGCATACTCAGTACCACACGGGCCCAGAAGGGCCCGACCAGGTAGACTAAGGGTCTGTAAGTGTAGGGCCTATTTTCGTTTCAGCCTAAAAGCCTGAAAACGAGGGCCTACAGGCCCTGTGTCGTTTCAGCCTGAAAGCCTGAAAACAAGGGCCTACAGGCCCTGAGTCTTTTCAGCCTGAAACGGAGGGCCATTTTCAGGCCCTCATAAGATCGACCTGCCCTGAAACTTAGGCACCAGACCAGGGTTTTAGCACAGGCCATTTTGGGCGAGTTTTCAAGACAACCTTTGTTTGAACTTCAACGCCAGGGTCTGGCACGTTTTGGCATTGGCAAGAGCAGCCTCCTGGACGGGCCAGCACGATATAAGACTGGCCCACCCTACAGACTGCAGGCAGTCAGGAGGCAGTTCATAGGAACTTCCCAGGCCCTTCACCTGCAGGAGGCAGGAGATAGTCTTCAGCATTCGGCAGCAGCACTCTGGAGGAGCGCTGCAGGAGTAGTAGTAGCGTAACTGTAGTCTTCAGCGCTGGGCGCTGGTAGGAGCCAGAGTAGCGTTGGAGAGAGAGAGAGAGAGAGAGAGAGCGATGGTTGGCGTAGGCCAGGGAGACTTACCTGTGGCGCCATAGCTCCAGCTTCGTCGTTGATGTATCTGCAACAAGGCGCCACCTTCACAGGTTAGTACCGGACTGAGAGAGAGAGAAGGAGAGAGAGAGAGAGAGAGAGAGAGAGAGAGAGAGAGAGAGAGAGAGAGAGAGAGACTACGAGAGAGAGAAAGATTGGTGGCTTCGGAATTTGACGACATTTGGATCCAGACTCGACATTGGGATTCAGACATTTGACGAGGGATTATTTGGGACTGTACCGAAGACTTGGTGTTGACGACATTCCCATCTTCCCCTCTTCTTCGTCTAATCCCCCTCTTCTTCGTCTGTGTATAGTTGGGGACTGGCGCATTCTTCCTGCTTGAGCGCCAGGCCCCTTCACACCATGGAATGATGATGATGTATGTTTGGCCTGCATAGCAACATTGATTGTTCGGATCATTGGTATTTAAGCCTTCCGCTGTGTTATCTTGTATTTTGTGAGAGAGGTCGGTTCTTGTTCTGGTCTGTACCGTTACGGTATGCAACAGTTTGGTATCGGAGCGGACCTCTCAATCAGACGATCTTCCCAGTCAAGTAGCCAGCTTGCTTGATCTACTGATTGTAGAATGATTGATTGAGTGATTGATTGATTGTTTATTAGTAAATCAAGTAGGACTTCGTCAAATCTCTGCAATTTTTTTTTTCTTCTTTCTCGCAACAAATACCTGAAAATTTCTGATAGTAGCATTTCGTTTTATCTGAAAATTTATGATATTAGCATTTTGTCTTATCTGAAAATTTCTGATATTAGCATTTCGTTTTCACGCAACAAATATCTGAAAAATTTTGATAGTAGCATTTCGTTTCTCTGATATTAGCATCCGAAAATTTCTGATATTAGCATTTATAGCCGAAAATTTCTGATGTTAGCATCTCGTTTTTCTGGGCATACAGGTTAACAAGGGAGGTGGTCATATTCTCGGAGACTGGATTTATTCTTTTCTGAAAATCGAGCCTCCATTCTATTTCGCAAAAAAAAAAATTGGTTCCTGAAAGCCGACATTTTGCGAAGCCTATCAGCATTTCGTTTGCTAGGCATAATAGGAGGTTGTCATATTCTCGGAAACTGGATTTATTCTTTTCTGAAAATCGAATCTCTATCCTATATTCGCACTTTTTTTTTTTTTCAAAATCACAAAAAAATATTTTGAAAGACGAAATTTTGAGAAGCCTTGCCTAGATCTTACTCTTAGCACTCTTCCGTAAAATGCCTCACTGATAGCAGATCGACAGATATTCAAAAAAAAAAAAAAAGGAAGGGGGATGATCCTCTTCTTTTATTTTTTATTTTTATTCTGTTGATTAGCACCGGGAGGAAAAGTACAGTTTGGTTGGTTACCTTCCTGCGTTTTCCCTCCCACCCAACCCTTTTGCCTGCATTCCCGTTTTGGTAAGTGCCACATTAGCAGTGCCAAGTCAGCAGTGCCACATCAGCAGTGCCACGTCAGTAGCAGTGCCAGGACAGCAGTGCCACGTCAGCAGTACCACGACAGCAGCAGTGCCACATCAGCAGCAGGGCCACGTCAGCAGTACCTCGTCAGCCGACACCGTACAGCTAACTGCAGCTTATGCTCCGACGCAGCAAATGCATCGCAGCAAGTGAAGGGCGGGCAGCCGTAGCGGAACAGCAGCTACCCCTGCCCGGCCCCTCTGCAATGGATCCCCAGGGCAACCCCACGGTGGACAATGCCGCATCCGGCAGTCCACGTGAGGCGTGCAGCTCGAACCCCCTGGTCCCACAGGTCCAGCAGGTGGGTTCCACTGCGACACCTTCGGGAGCCCTCGATGCGGCGCCAGTCCGGCAGCAAAGAGAGACCATGATGGCCTTCCTCGCCCGCCTGGGCACCTACATGCAACAAGTACGAGAGGAACAGCATCGCGAGGCGGCATGCGAAACGGCACGCCTTAACGCCATTGCACGCGACGCGGAGCAACGGCGCCGGCAGCACGCTGAAGCAGCTGCCAACCGTAACAAAGTTCGAAAAGATGCCGCATCTGTCCTCATGCATGTAGCATATCAGAAAGTGAAATGCACTGAAAGCCTAGGATCTAGCAATGACAAAAGTGGCAACAACCAGCAGCATAGGTGCAACATTCACAAGGTGTCAATGTGCGTGACGCAAAGAGTGAAACAATGGGAAATCAATAACAACACATTCGTATCATCATCATCATAGGCTGGGAAGCAGCGCAGCGGAAGATCTAGTATCAAAGGAC